CTCTAGGCGTTCGGTTTATTTTCCTGAGAGCAGTTTTACCACTGTCCAAAACGCAGTGACTTTCTTGAGGATTCAAAGTTTCTGACTTTTCCTGCCCTTTTTTGGTCATCGATTCAGCAATGTATTCCAAAAATATTTACTGAGAACATCTGGGGCACTCTTCTAACCCCGAGGGGGCAATGCAGGAACGAAATGTAGACTGCCCTTGGCCCCCTTCAATCCTGGATCGGTGGCGGGGGCAGATGACAGTGTTCTGGCAGTAACCGGCTGTGTGACTGTGGGTAGGAGCCTTTCCTCTCCATCCCTAATCCCCCCGCTTAAAAGCCTTTAATGGCCCACAGTTGCTTACGGAGCAAGATGGACATCCCTGGCCCGGTCTTCAAGGCCCCTCAGAGTTGGGCTCTGTGCACGCTCCCTGCTCTCCCACCCCGTTGGGCTCCATTTCTGCGTAACCGATATGTCACTTTCTAAGTGCTGGGCACTAAGCACTTCACACGTTTTAACTTGTTTAATGCTCACAGGAGCCCCTTGAAAGAAGTATTATGATTCTCACAATCTCCATGTTGAAGATGGGGATACTGTGACACAGAGAGCTAGGGGACGCGCCTATGTCCACGCGGCTGCTGAGTGGCGTGGCTGGGATCTGCACCCAGGCAGCCTGGCTTCCGGGCCGCGCGCTCCGCCGTTGCTGTGTTTCCTCTCTAGTCTGTCCCGGCCTCTCTCTTTCCTTTTCTAGGGACAATTCAGCAGCCATTGCCCACTCCCATGAAGCCTTCCCTGACGGCTCCCAGGCTGAATGAATTCTTCCCGTCTCTGTGTTCCCATGATGCCTTGCACACCCCTCAGCACGGCGGCCCTTCCCACGGGGCAATGCTGTCCTGATCGGGTCTTGTCTCCGCTGCTGGATGCTGAGCACCTGGGCAGGTGGGGGAGGCTGCGTCTTACCCTCTGTTCCCGTCTGTGCCCAGCCCAGCGTCCCAGATCGTCCATTCTCCACACAGCGCCCAGAGACACCTTTTAAAAACAAATCCAGGTTTTATCGCTCCCTGGCTTAAAACCGCCTAGTAACAATTCATCGAATTTAGAATAAAATCCCATTTTCTGACCATGGTCTGACTCCTGGCTCCTCCTCACCCTCATCTGCTGCCACTCTCGCCCTCGCTCACTCTGCTCCAGCCACACTGGCCTCATGCCTGTCCCCAGACAGTCCAGGCTCACATTAGGGTCCCTGCCAGAGCCATTTCCTCTGCCCGAAATGTTCCGCCCTGACTTCTTCTTGTCATTCGGGCCCTGGTTCCATGTCACCATTTCAGACAGACCTTCCCTATCTGTCTGTATGCTTGAATGTTTTCATGTTTACTTTTTAATTGTTATCAGTGACTATGTGTATCCTGGGCCTGTAAGCCATGTGGGAAGAGGGATCTGGGGCGTCCTGGTCAGCACCCGGAGCAGTGCTCCACACCGAATAGCCACGCAAGGAGGACGAGTAGATGCTTACCAATATCCCTTTGGGAGTCTGCTTATTTCTATTCAACTAGGCCCAGATGATATGATATGATATATGATCTGATATAATATATAATACACAGATTGGTCTCATCTCAGGCTAAAAACTGGGATAATTTCACAAGCCGAAATTCACTATCTTTATCCACTTCCTGTGTCCTGACTGCACTCATACTCCCGGGAGTAAGGCAGCTTTATAGAACGTTCTCCGCTGACTTCACCAGGGATGCTCAGAATTCCTTCCATATGTTTCAGTTTGTCCACCTATGGCTCAGGGAAACTTGTGAGACACTGCCTTCCCCATTTTGCAGGCAGAGACATCTCTGGAAAGCAAAAATGCTGACTTGAAAAGTGCCCGGAGCCCGAGGGGAACACACACACCCGTCATAACCGACACGTTCCATCGGTAACCGGAGACACGTCATGCTCCAGAAAGGCACAAGAGCTCTGAGTCCTGCCAGGGCCCGGGCCAAACACGACTCATGTAACACCTCGAAGGAGTGGGTCTGTGGCTGGGAGGCAGGTGCAGGCAAATTCAGTGCAAATAGGAAAAAAGAGGCTTCACATGCCTCTGGCGGAGGCAAGCAGGATGGGCAGAAATCCACGGAAATGAGGTCTGGCTGTCTGACTGCAGAGCCTTTGCTCATGAGAACTGTGGGACCAGCCGGGAGATTTGCTTAGAATACAGGTACCTCCAGCATCCACTTTCTTCAAAAGGATATGGAAGGGAGAAGTGTCACGGTGTCTCCAACACCAACTGCCACTTCTTGCCCCACTTCCTCCTTCTCCTTTCAGAAAAGGATATGGCATCCCCCGTTTATGGGCCAAGAAATGCTAAGGTCTAATCTTCCAGGCAAAATGGTGGACCGAAAAGGACTCTAGATTATGAGTTCAAGGGCCTCGACTCTGGTCTCAGCGCTGTGGAACTTTGGGGCAATTTCTCTCCATTTCTGACCTTCGCCTCTCTCATCTGTAAAACGTGGTTATTGAGTTAGGTGATTTCCAAACCGACGATTTCCTCGACTTCAAGCCTTCTATCCTCATGAGCTTATGGCTCAGATTACTTTGAAAGTGAAGCTCTCACTTTTTTCTTTTTCTTTCTAAGGCTCAATTTGTCTTTTGGTCAGCCTTGCAAATAGTCACTAGCCTCTGGCCACAGTGTAGGTAGTAGAGATAAACAGTCTGGCTTGGTAAAACCCGTTAAGGGTGGATATACCTCTCTCTCTTTTATACTTTCCTGAAATTGTTTCTCTAATGCACACGGTTCGTCACCACAGCGTGGCCTTTCTTAAAACTTTCTGCTGAGGACGAGAATGTTCAGAAGAAATCAGGAGGGAAAGGCATGATTTGAGTTAGTGGTCTAACATTCGAATGGCAGAAGTTGTTACTGATGTTAAAAACTCTTCTGCACCAAATGATACGACGTCTTGAGTTAGCTTTCGAATAAGTGTATGCGTGTATGTGTGTGTGTGTGTGTGTGTGATGAGAGTGGGTGTGGGTCGAGATGAAACAAAATTAGCCAATTGTTAAAGCTGGATGATGTGGGAGTTTATTATATTATTTTTTTTCTATTAAAAAAAAATGTTTGAAACATTTCATCACAAAAGGCGCTTGGGAGACCGACTCCAGCCTTTCTCTCCACTCTCATTTCTCAGTCCCCATCTCGAGGACCCTCTGGTACGGTGACGTCACCCCGGTGGCTGTGATTTCACCCCTTTAGGCCTTTCCAAACAGTTCCCCCTTCT